CCTCGCGAGAAGGATTTGTTCCAGATCATGATGTACGGCAGCCGTCGCTTTCGCCGCGCTACGTTTGAGAGAGGTATCCGCTTCCTGTGTCGACCCCATGTTGCACACGAGGGTCGGGGCACTAGGTTAATCTGCTTCAATTAAGGTCGGGAATCTGGTTTAATTGACGTCGGTCGAACTGCCCCAAGGGCTAAAACCAATATATATATTAGTTAATGGCCATTTCAATATTATTATACCAGTAGCGTAGTATTTCCTAGTGTACTAGCCCAGGATCTCCGCCTGGACCGTGTACGAGAATAGTCGGAGACTCCGCAGGAATTCTCCGACAACCTCCGTGAAGGTGTTTACCTCCGTCGCCGTTGCTCATCGCGTACAACAGCGAGCAGGCTCCCTGTCGTGGCAGGTGTCGTGCTCACCGTCTGATACGACGTCGAGGGCATGCCGTACCCTGTGGGCAGCAACACTCCCACGGTCACGTGACTTTGGTGCGGAGGGTGACGGACACTCCGCTCGATATCGAGCTCATTGTGGCCCAAAATAGCCAGTCAGGTGCCCTCGCTGCCCGCCACAGCGATCAAGAATGGCTGACCGCTCCGATTAGTTCCGGTGGAGACGGGGATAGCCGGAGGATCCGGCCGTATCCGGAAGTTCCGGCGGAAGCTAACAAGGAACTAAAACCGGAGGGACAGGGTAAGGACGGTTAGCTGAATTGGTTGATGAGCCATGTCTGGCACGCGTGTTCGAATCCCGGTTTGTGTAAACAACCTGTTGTAGGTTTTTTTTTGTAGCCCAATACCGCTGTCATTCCATAGCCCAGTACTACTGTCATAGAATCAATGTTGATGATTAAAATGAATAGGAAAAAGGTATGCCTTACTTTGACTGTTACTTAAGATCTTGCCTCACTTGGATCCCAGTTCAGATTAAATTATGAAAAGCATTATAATAAGCATCCTGATCGTCTAATGCAAAGAGGATACATAGATAAGAGCTATATACATGCATATCAACCAAAATATTTCCTAAGCAGACAAAACAAGATACAGCCTGGGCTACAGTTGAGCCACTATTGAAAATAAAATGATAAATGACTTACGATTAGAGAGCAGAGAAGAAGACACTCACGGATTCTCCGCGGACCCTCCGCGGAGCCTCCGCAGCTCTACATATCGCCAGATGGCCCAGCGTCGGACCTGGCGTTCTTGTATGCCGCGAACGCACCGCGTTCGTATGCCTCGCGATTGGATCGAATTGATCCATCCAGGTTCTGAACGCGTAGGGCCGTGCGAGCGAAGGGCGTGCAAAGAACGTTCTGCGTCAGGCTTCGCAGATGGGCGAAGCCTTGCGTGCGCTGTTGGGCGCGCGCAGTGAGTTGCGCAAGCTGCAGGAGGTTTGAGGCATCTCGGGCCTGACGATCACGTTCGAGGGCGAGGTCCAGCCCGACCGATGGACTGAGATAGCCGTTGGCGGTCGGCACATACGGCTCCTGCAACGCCCTCTCCGCCAAGCGCTCGAGCCACTGGCGATACGATTCTTGCGAGTTGTGCCAGTCCTCTGGCGCAAGAGGATCGACAGGGACCTCGCCGATATGGCCGTACGCAAGGGTGTTCAAATCGATAGGTACACGCGGGGGTGCCTTGCCTGGATTCTTCGGCGGAGGGAACTTCGGCGGCGGCGCGGCGGAGGTAGACGGTGGCGGAGGCTGAGCGGAGGACGCTGCGGGAGTAGCATCTGGCGGAGGTGCGGCGGGAGTAGCTTTCGGCGGAGGCGCGGCGGAGGCACCGCTGCTTTGTGCCTTCGGCGGAGGGGCCGGCGGGGGAGCGGCTCTTGACGTCGATTCCTTCGACTGCGGCGTATTGCCCGACTCGCCCTGATGACGGCCTGGCTGCGCAGAGCTTGTTGTAGAGGCGTTGGCGGGCGCGGATGCTGACGCTTTACTGGGGCCAGCACGTTGTGCCGCAGGCGTTGACGCTCTAGCGGGTTGAATGGGTGAGGAAGGAGGGGAGGGCGTCTCCAGGATGGGCGGAGGCGAAGAGCTGGACGATGGCGGTGCGGGAGGGGATGTTGGTGCGCGACGACCTTTACGCTTTGGTTGAGGGCGCGGGATAGACGCAGATGGTGCGGCTACATCAGAGATCAGCATCTGGTCATGCTGAGCGTGACAGTCCTCACCCCTCCTAGGTAGAGACACGAAACACTGAAGTCTCGGTCCTGAGGGGAGGGGTTCGTGGGAGCTGCGAGGATGATTAAAGAATCTAGTACGCACCTGCTTTACCCTTTCCCTTTCCCTTTCCGGTCGCCTTCTTCTTCCTTTTCTCCAGCACCTCCTCCAACATTTCCTGCATCTCATCCATCTCTTCATCACTGTCCTCGACCACGAATTCGCTTGCGTCGTCGTCGGTGGGCCCGCCAGCGTCCGCTTGGGCTTCAGCGTTCTCCGCCGCGGGCGACGCGGATGGGGATGACGGAGACTCCGCGCCAACAATCTCGCCGTCCGAGTCGAGTTCGACCTGAGCGACGGGTTTTGTGCGCGTACGCTTAGTCGGCGGCGCCGGGGGGGACGATGGAGGCGTACGGGTTCGTCTAGCCATGAGTGGAAAGCTAGATGATGGGAAGATACAAGTCGCGCGTCCGGCGGGGGCGCGTGATGACTCGGAGAAGGCCGACATCAACTCCGCACGTGATGACGGAGAATCTCGGCCCGCGCGCGTCCGCCGGAGGAGCTTCGCGCGACTTGCCTTTCTTTTCTCCCGCCATCATCTGCTCCGCCCTCACGCTAGTCTCGCCCACCATGTCTGCTCTCGCTGTTCCGCCTCCTTTTCGTAAAGTGGCTGGCTCTGGTGCTCTAGCCGATACCGTGACGCCTAGTCTGCTCAAGGATGCGCTCACCTCTTGGCTGGAGGCTTCGCAGCACCAGCATCTCCTGCCCTTGGGGACGCTGACGCGTCTCATGCTCGCACACAATTTTCTGTCTGGGCTGAAGCTCTCTGCTGCCGTCGTAAAGACGGCATTTAAGTTCTTGGTTATTGAAATGGTGCGCGACTTACCGTACATCTTGATGTGATTGCTGACTTCGCGCTAGAACACGGCCCAAAGGCTCAACAAGGCGAACGCGGCCTTCATGGAGTACTTGAAGCCCATCCGCGAGCACAAGTCGGGTCATTCGTGGGACTGGGTCTGGGTGGCGAGGTTTTTGAAGGATGGGTTCCCGGAGGCGTTGAGGCCGGAGACGATAAAGGTGAAGGGATTTACCTACGGGCCACTTAGGTGGTGGGTCACGATCGGTGCGTCGCATTTTATGTAGGGTTGGAATCTTACTGATCAAACGTCTGTCCAGGCGGCCTGCGTGACAAGCAGATGCCGACTCGCGCTGACATCGTTGCGCACTACGACGAGCGCAAGCGCGTCGAGGAGAAGCGCAAGAACTACGAGGACGCTATCGCGAACGTGCAGGACGACAACGACTCCGACTACATCCCCAGCCCGCGTACCGAGTCGCCGCCTTTACAGCCGCGCGTGAAGCCGCGCAAGCCCACGCGCCCGGTTCCCACCGCTACTTCACCGCCGACCCACGCTCCCCCGCCCGCCCCGACTGCTGCTGCTGCTGCTGATCCTCCGCCGGCCCCCGCTACGGCTGCACCCCCGCCGGCCCCTGCTGAACCTGCGCCTCCGGCGGCCCCGACGTTCCCGCCGCCTCCGCCGGCTGTCCGTGCGCCGATGGAACATTCGGCGATCATTAAAGACAACAGTCTGCCGGCAACAGCGGCTGATTGGGGCCATCCGTCAACATGGCCGGACTATCACCTCAAGTCTGACGAGGTTTGGCGCCCGCCCCCCAACGCCAACTCCGCGAACGTGCAGCTCAACCGGACGCGCAAGGAGATCTTCGCGAAGGCCAAGGCGCTCAAGCCAGGCGAGTACTTGACGGAGTGCGACGTCTGGAGTATTCCTGAGGCTCACGGCCTGGACTCCGAGAATCCCGGCTTGAAGATGAGGGTGCGCCATTTGCAGTCACTGTTGAACTTACGATACTGATGCTGTGAATTTAGCGATCGTGCCAGAGCTGCATCGAGCTCGGCATGAAATGCATCAACCGCGGCGTGCAGATCTGCCTCAAGTGCTACGTCGCCAAGCGCAAGTGCTTGGACGGCCAGCTGCCGAAGGACAAGGTGTACAAGAACCACCCGAGGGTCAAGGCAAATCCGGCAGTCCGTAGGGCATTCATGCTCGATCTCGAGAAGAAGGGCTATATTCCGCCCGACGGCCACAAGAAGTGGTTCAACTACTTGTGTGCGTATACATCTGGCGTATTCATTCCCTTCTCGCTGCTGATATTAGTTGTAGGGCAAAGTCACATGCGCAAGGGCGACGCCGCCGCTCAGGGCCCTGCGCCTGCTGCTCCCGCTCCTCCGCCCGCTCCTACCACCGTCGCTGGCCCCGCGCCGGCTCAGGACGAGAAGAAGAAGAAGAAGGACTCGTCCGCATCGTCCACGACATCCGACTCCAGCTCCACTTCGTCGTCGTCGTCGAGCTCGTCGTCTGACTCCGACGATGACGACTCTGAGAAGCGCAAGAAGGCCAAGAAGGCCAAGAAGGCCAAGAAGGCCAAGAAGGCGAAGAAGGCGAAGGCGAAGGCCCTGCATGAAGAGGAGGAGGCTGGGGCGGGAGGGGACGTGGAGATGGAGGAGATTACGTTTGGTGAGGAGGAGAGCTTGGAGGATCCGGACGCGCTTGCAGACGACGAAGAAGACATGGACGCCGACTTCGATTTCCCCCCCGCAACGCCTCCGCCGGTACCTCCGCCGGCCCCTCCGTCTGCGCCTCCGCCAGCTGCCCCGACGGACCTGCAGCCCGCCGTCTCCCCCGAGGTTGGGTCGAAGCGCCGTCGCGACACGGCCCGTAGCGAAGGTGGCGACGCAGGGCCTCAGCAGAGTCCTGAGCAGCGCCCCGCAAAGAAGACGCGCCCGGACAATACGCTCGAGGGCCAGCACCCGGCTGCTGCGAAGGGCAAGGAGCCGGCTGGCGCGGGCGCGCGCAAAGGCCCGATCTTTGTTCATCCGCCGCCGAGCACGCCCCAGAAGCAGCAGGAGCGCCCCCCCGTCGAGCGCGCCGCGCCAGGAGAGTTTCAAGAGTATCCTCCGCGTCCCCCGGCCATCCCGTCCGTCCACCCGATCTCGCAACCCGACGCGACGTTGAGCGAGCTTCGCTACAACGACCTCAAGAGCAAGATCGAGCTCGACGGCAAGGCCAACGCGAACGGCGTTCGCGAGTACATCGCGAAGGTGTACGACACGAACACCGTGCGCCCCCGCCACACCGAGGTTATCAACGGGCTCAATTCGTTGCAAGGCGCGCTCAACGGCATACGCGATCAATCCCGCCTCACGGCCGTCGAGACACGCCTCACCAACCTCGAGGTGGAGCTGACGAAGCAGGGCAACGAGCGCAAGGCCAAGCTCGACAACATCGAGCGCCTCTTGAGCGACGTCCTCGCTGGCAAGCAGGCTGATCGACGAGACCTGGCGTCGCGCGGGGTTCAGACTGGGCCGCTCGAAGCGGATGGGGACGTCGACATGGGCCCGACAGCCCAGCAGGCCGCAGAGGCCGTACATAAGGCTCTCTCTGAGGGCCGTCAGCCTCCTGTGGACACAGCGACTGAACGGCAGGCGTCAAACAAGAACAAATCTACTGAGGGAGGGCGCGCGGAGAGCGCACCTCCGCCGGGTTCCCCGTCTCACGCAACTCCGCCGCCTCCTCCGCCGCACACGCCTCCGCCGCCGCCACCGCGCCGAACACCTCCGCCGCCACCACCGCGCCAGATACCTCCGCCGCCCCCTCCGCGCCTGTCGCCGCCGGGCCGTCCGGCGCAGGGCCCGTCGCCGCTGCCTCCATCCGCCCCCGCCGCTGCCACGCAGGCTTCAGTCGCACAAGTCGCCGTCGCGCCCCCCGACAGCTTGAATGCTAGGCGATCTCCTCCCCCGCTGGCGTCCATTGCGACACCAGGCGCGACCGCATCTCAGCCTGCATCTCAGGCCAGCTCACCACGATCCCCGGCATTGGAACCGTCATCGCTGTCCGCTGCGTCAAGTGACAGCGACGAGAATGACGTACCCGAGCCCGAGGGCGGGAAGAACTGGCCAGCAGGGAAGCGCGCTGGCGTAGCTAACGAGGGGGGCAGTGATGAGGATACGGACGCGATTGGTAGTCCCGATCCGGAGTTGGCCAAGTCCACGCGCAAGGCCCGCTTGGACAGCGACGACGACAGGGAGGAGGAAGGCATACTCCCCGCTCCACCGCATCCTCCCGCTCCTCCCCAACGCCCAGAACCGGACGTTGTGCCGTCCTCACAGGCTGGGGAGACCGACGGTCCGCCGGCTGGTAAGGCCGTCGTCGACGCGGATGGCGATGTTGCAATGGCGGAGAAGCCGGCGGACCCTCCCGCTACCGCGACAGGGCCGACGCAGGACTGGGCGAAGATCGCGGCGGATGCTGAGGCTCAGAAGAAGGCGTTGGAAGAGGAGGAGGCGCGAGAGGCAGCTGCGCGTGCGGGAGGGACGCCAAAGGCGACGGGTGGGCGCAAGCCCAGCAAGCGGAACACGAAGCCCGCCACCGCTGCTTCGGCACCAACAGCTTCTCCGGCCGCCCAGACTGGCAAGGCTACACGCTCAAAGGGTCAGGCGCCTGATCCAGGAGAGCTCCCGCCCACTCGCAAGCCCCGTGCCCCCAAGTTGTAATTCACGCTCGTCTCATCGTCTCGCCCGGCCCCGTAATGACTGCATCTCCCGCGTACAATTTCTTGTGTAATATGTCGTGCTGCTCATGTTTCTGTGTATATCTTGTTCCCAAGCATCCACCATCATTCTCTTTCCTTACTCTGCCCCCCCTTTTTCACTAATCTGTAGTCTTATTTATACATCTCTGAATGCCAGGGTGCATGTTTTGTTATTGGTAGCCATTCGCTGCAGCAATAGAGATTGTGCCAAAGAGTCGGTCGCGGGCGTCCGCGGCATCCCCGCCGGACCCTCCGCGCGACGACTCCGCCGGAGGCACCGAGATAGAATTTGTAGAATTGCAGTTCAAGTACTGGATTGCCTACTTTGCATGAAGACCATCGTGAATAACACCGGGTAAGCAGTCGTTGAATCGTTTCTTTGCGTAAGCAGCCATGTCCAACCAATCTGATCGATAGGCCTCCGCCATCATCTGATGTCCTCGCGAGTTCTGCATGATCTGACCTCTTTTCTTCCAGTGCCTTCCGAGGCTCCGGTAGCCGAGATAACACATCTGCATCTCGAATCGCAATATTGTGAGCTCCTCGGCACATCGGGCCTGGTTGCACTTGGCATTGATCCATCGAATTTTGAAGACTTCATATATGTGAGTGCTTGTTATTCACATTGTAATGAGAACAGAGACTAACATTCGGCTACAAACTGCTCATCTTCTTCCCTCGTCGCCCCTGACTGATCGTCTTGTCCTTCGGGTACCATTCTCCAGAACCAAGGTAGCACAAAATTGGGACTAGTACCACGAGTACTGTAGGTTGCTGTAGAGCACTTCAAATGCTCAGGCTCCAAAAATCGATATCGCGCTGTCCTAGCTTTCTTGTCCTCCTTGCCCTGGACGGAAGTGTCCCAGTCGAGTTTTCGCAGTTTCGTTGCACACATGTTGTAGATTTGCGCGTGGAGTCGTACCGCCTTTCCTTGATTTTGCACCTCTTCGTAGGCCCTGGCCGTGAGATGGTGCCCACGAGTCTCGTTACCTCCTCCTGAGCGAATCTTTTGAAGGTACGTATTGGCCTGGTCAATGATAGTCGTTCGAACTTGTCCGAGTTCCTCCTCCATTCGCGCCATCAGCAATTTACCCTCCACCTCCATTGCTCGTTGTTTGATCCCGAGTTCCGTGTCCACTCCCTCGTCCTCCAGTTTACGCCAGTCGAAGCTGCGAGCCGACGGCAGATCGACCGGCCTGAACTCTGCGGCCCGCCGGAGGTTCCGCTCGCCCTCATGTCGCGGGGGCTCCGCCGGGCCTCCCCACTCGTCCTCCTCCATGAGTTTATGCAGACGGACCTCCGCGAGCTCTCCTGGACTAGGCTTTGATCGCAAGGCGGCTGCCATGTCGGTGTTGCATTTGTTAATTCTGTTGTGGAGCTTCGTCCTGTTGCCCGCCAGTGTCCTCCTATCTGATGCAGTTGTTGCCTGTTTGTCAAAGGCTTGCAACTTCAACCTGACAGGAAAGTCAAATATTGTATCCCAGAAATAGTACAAATACTTACTGATCGACTTGAAGATTGACACTGCTGATGAGAGCTTGAACTAAACCACCGCCTTGAACAAGATTAGCCTCGTCCTCCAGTAGCTCTGTCTCGGTGTCTTTTCTGGATGGGACTTAATGTACGAGTCATCAGTCTTCTAACAAAAATAACAGAGTGTTACAAGTACTGACCTTGCGTGAGTTCGGCACCAAACAGTTCGTCTGCTTTTAGTGGGTCTGAAATTTGCAGATGTTCGAAACGTTGCCTTTCCATCTCCCACTTCGTCTGGTCGGCCTCAGAGACATTCATCGACAACTTCACAAGCAACTTGTTCCTTTGCGACATCTCGACTTGATATTTGTCCCATTTCCGTGCGAGAGTGTCAGCTAACCAATAGGATCAATAAAGAACGGCTTTGATTGATGGTGAAAGCACTTACCCATGTCGAGTGTTTTCCTAAGGTTACTGTCCGATTGGAACAAAGTGATCACCTCCTCCCTATGTGCCAACGACATTCCACGACAAGACTCCAGAATGCCGTTGAGGATCGACCATAGAGTTTCCAAGATCTCACCATCCACAATGCCGGTGTGACGGGCGTACTGAGTCGAGTACCGGCCATAGCATTCGAAGACGTGGCCAAAGATATGCCATACACCAACACCACCCATGACTTCCTCGAACTCTGGCCAGGACAAGTGCGGACTCTTATCGAACCGCTCACGAAGATGTTTTCCATACTGGCACCAGATGTCGTAGAGGATTTGGATCCGTCTGACTCGCTCTGCGTCTGTGCAGACTTCGAAAATCTTGCTCAGGGCAAGGTCCGCCGGACCCTGTCTACGGCGCGTCAGCGGAGGGCCCGCACGATCCCCGCCGGGGAATGAACGTACCCTTCTCCTAGTTCATAATTGCAAGTCCCACAGGCTGCGAAATGTCCGTGGCGTGCACAAGCCCATGAACCAATTCCTTTAATGTCGGTAATTTTGTTTCGACTTTTTCCAGTCACAGCGGCAGCTTGATGTTTGTGACAGGGCTTGTCGTTGGCAAACTGGACTTTGTTTAGTTTTATGTAATTAAGGTTGAACTGGAGACCACTTACCAGTTCAGGCTGCACCTTCTGTAGATCTCTGTCTGTAACATTCTTTTTTAAAGCCGCCCGAACTTCATCAGGGTGTTGAAAGGCACCGGTACCCGGGAACAAAGGTACATTGTTTCCCGGCTCCTTGGAGACTGTGTGCTGTGCACTGAAATTGCCGTCGTGGACCCAGGAAAAAAAGATTGCCCAGGCATTTGGATCTCTTTCCCAAAGTGGGGGAAGATTGTCGACAGAGGGGCATACGACACATTTGTGAAATAATCCACCAGGAGGGGGAGCTCGCCAGTTGTTGTAGTCCTGATGAGCATAGCCATGAACAATGAGAGAGTCGACTGCTGTGTACTGTCGCATGACCCTGAGATGCTCCCTGTATCGATTCTGTTAAATGTCAAGTTCAATTTTAATGGACTTGTTCATCCTGAGATCCCACTCACGACGACAGTTGAAGGATGTAGAGGCCGGGTTATTCTGCGGATCTTCCGAGAGATGGCTTGCACTGACACTTTGCATTCCAGTCTCTCAATTTGCTGACATGCCAAACCCTCCACCGTGAATGCAGTTCGAGGACTTTTGCTGGTCGCGGGGAACAAGCCTCCGTAACGAAGCATCTGCTCGTCAGGCTCAAGCTCACGGCCTTCGCGACAAACACAAAACGCCACTCCCAACGCATGCAGGTCATGCTCGTGTGCAAGCACCATGACCTTGTATCCCCAGGAATCCTTGCGAACCAAAGAGTTCCGTCCCCTTTTCCGCGGCACACCTTCAACGTGTTCGTCGTCGCTTTCTTCGTCCTCGTCCTCGATCTCCTCTGCTTCGACCTCCCCCTCGTCCATCTCTTCGTGACTACCTGCCCACTCATTCCACAAAGGATCGTCCGGATCCTCCCCGACAGACCAGGATTGACCGCTGACGCTTTGAGGCTCAGAGTCGAGACGTTCTTCTGGGCCATCTCCGTCGGACCTCCGGAGTCCAGATACACCTCCGGCGGGGGTGCTCGATCTCGAGCCTCCGCCGCGGCCTCCGCCGGACCCACTTGAGCTGCCATAGTGGGGAGGCACTCTATCGTCAAATCCGGCAGGGAGTCGATAACGACCTTCCTCGTACCCGGGGCACTGATTAGTACCTGTGGCCATTGGGCAAAGCTGGATGAAGATGCCGGCATCTCTGAGGCTGGCCTCTCGATACTGCATCCCGGTGAAGTATCGAACACGGTGAAAGGGATTCGACATGTGCCTCTTCCTGATGCATGGAGTGCAAAGGTCCTTGTCCCGTCGACATCCATCACAATGCCAGAGTCCGCCGTCGATCTTTCCACAATCGGCACAATCCATGACTTTCGGCGGACCGTAGTACTCAACGATACAATTGGCGTATTTGGCAGCCACATTTCGTTTGGCGAACTGAGCCATTTGATCGACATTCGTCTGCAGATCGGTCAGTTTGAGGTAGAGACAACCCGGGCTCATTACCCACATTTCGAGCAGGCAGTTGATTCTCCTTGGACGAAGCTAGAGTCGATGACTGAGAGTCTCTTAGCATGCCATCGAGACCTATGGGCTGGTCGTCTGGAAGGTGCTCGTAGAGACTCGTTTGGGGACCGACGCGGGGGCCAGCTGGGCTCCCGGAGGGCCCGCCGGACCCCGTGCGGACACTCCTGCCTCCGCCGGAACCAGCAACCTCCTCCGCTCCGCCGTGATCATCCGCGACTGCTGGCCTTGTCAGGGTGCATTCATTCAAAGGTTAGTAAACATGCCTGTTCCAGTGTATAGAGATGACGATCCCTCTCGCGATGCATCCGGTTGGCCTCTGTTTAACCCTCGTATCGGCAGGGTAAAGGCTCCCTGTACTCGTCTTTTCTTTGTGGCTGGAAGGGGCTGTGCAGCCGGTTCGATTGTCGCCCGCTGAGTCGGACGCTTCGTCTTCCGGGCAATGACGTTATTGAAGTTACGAGTGTTGTTCGTGACTGAGAATTGTAATGCCGAATCTTGACCTGTTGACATACTGCGAACTACACTCGAGCCAAAGGACGATGGTTGTTGCAGGCCGATGCAATTTTCATCAGGCCGGGATGATGGCCATCGCGTGGACGGGACTTCCCGCCTGTCATCAACACGTGGCTGGGTCATCTCCGTCGGAGGCCCAGCTGGTGATGCCCTCACTTACTACCAATTACCTAGTACTATTTGATATGATTAGGCAAGTATCGCTCCTTAGCTGGCTAACTTGACAAGCCTCATTGTGGTTTATCCTGGTTACAGGCTCTCCAGACATCTGAAAGCTGCACGTCTTACATTGCCTCTTTAACAAGAAAAAGACCAAATGAGTTCCTATTGGGGTACTCCCTCTTATTACATGAGATTCAACCCTGGGACAGTCTGTACCAGCATTGAACCACATGTGGAAATGATACTGGTATGATTGGGGGCAGTTGTGATGAAGGAGG